TTGAAAAGAGAAGACTTTTTGTCAAGACAGGAGTATAAAATTGAGCCATCCGCAAAAAGAGCTACTTTAGATGTAAGATTGTTAGGAAGATTATCTACATTAATGTAGATAAAGAAACAAAACAGGACCATGAGTAGAACCTTGAGAAGTTACTGGAAATGAAGATGAGTGTTGGCCTTCGATGATGATTTTAATAAAGCATTAGAAAGAAACAATTTGATAAACTCTAACTTTCACAGATACAACATGTGAAGCAAGCTTATGGAAAAACCAACATGCCAAACTTTGTTGAAAGCTTTAGGCATGTCGAGAGCAAATGCCCTAACCTCACCGCCTCCACTTTTCTAATGTAAGATAAAGTTTTACTGTTTATTTTAATGTAAATAAACTTTAAAAATTCAGCAAAACTTGTAGTATTTTGAGGTACAAAAACTTTCAAATTTTTTGTACTGTCAGCAGTATAAAAATACCAGACGATTGTACAATCATCATTTTTAATGTACTCCTACTTTACACATTTTCTTTCTTGTATCCTTTTATGCTTGTACTGCTTAGAAATAATCTTTATAATAATAAAACTTCGGAATAAAACTTCGGAATAATGTTGAATATAGTTGAAAACTTTCCAGAACCTTCTTGAATGTATACATTATAAATTCATTCCTAAGTTGTACAAGTACATTAACAAAAGTAAGTGAGTATGAATATAAATAAATACATATTAAGGTAGATATGTTGGATATATCGTATAAAACAAAGTAAGAAAATTAGAAACTTATGGGATTGTAACTGGTGGCTGGGCGTAAAACCTTGCGAGACCTATACGGGAACCATTATGACAAATATGGAAACTGTAAAAATGAAAATAGGAAACATCTAGAACTAAATTAAGCATCTCAGCGGTTAGCACTTATGGATACAGAAAACTCAAACAAATCCCTCCAGGATCCCGCTAGAATACCCGTATGGTTCCCATATAACAAGCTTGTATAGATCCCTTACGGGATCCATGTATGTTGGTTACCTGGGTTAGTACTTCTTTGAACATCTAAATAACTATTAAAAAATAAATAAATACATTTATCCATATTTTTATGCAGGTAAAACTCTTAAATAAATTTTTCTACCGCAAAAAATAGATTTTATACCGCAAAAAATATATTGCTTAGGTAATTTTGCTTTTAAGTAAAAACAACAAGACTCAGTGAAAATGGACCTTGTTGTTTTTACTTAAAAAGTAAAAACAACAAGGCCCATATACGTATAATATTTTCTTTACCTCACATTTTGCTGCATATTTCATTTGAAGAGAGTATATGAGTAAAAAGTTATAAGTAAACAAAATTAAAAAAATCGGAATACACCAATTAACAAGTCTTTTACCCTAGTAAAACAATTATAAAATCTGAGAAATGAAATTGAATTCGAATTCAAATTTAATTTTTTTTATTATAAAGCAACTAACATTTTTATTAAGCTATAATTTAAATATTAAATATAGTGCAACTGATTAAGCATTTAGTGCAATTGATTAAGCATTTAGTGCAATTGATTTATTGCATTTAGTGCAGCTATTGCTTATAACTACAATCTGTCACACAAAAACAATAACAAAGTAAGTAAATTTGGAAACTATTATAAATAAAATTTAACACTTTATTTAATTAATTACACGTAAACTTAAAAGGTTAATTAAATATGTTTTGCTACTTTTATGACTACCTCGACCTAAAGTTAAAACCATAAAAAAAAAATTAAAAACAAAACTTAAAGTTCATGGAAGTACCTAATTATAATTTTTTCCCTTTGTCCAAACATAAGTCCGAAATCATGTCTAGAAAACCAACGAGAGAGACAGATATAGGAAGAATATGGGAATCTAGTGCTTCGCAAATAAAAAAAAGAAAGACCGAAAGAGAAATCAAACCAAGCTATGAGTTCCAGTATGATAAAGTCTCTTAAGAAATCTCTTTTAACTGTTACTTGGCCTAGTTTCATTGGTTTCTGAAAGAGAACCAGCTTCAGAGTCGAATGTATCTGCTGTGACCGAAGAGTTTGAACGCAATAAAGTTATAAAATTTGTGACTCAGTAAATCAAGAGCAAGCAATTCATTTGAGCGATTCATTTATAAACTTAGATGCGGGAAAATGGACATTTCCTGCATCTATCAATAACCATCTCTCAACGTAATGACTTAATTCAAAACAATCCCCATCAAAATATATAAAAATAAACGAGGGATTGATTTATTTGAAAGATTGACTGGTATAATAAAACTTTTTAGCCTAACCTAATCTAGCATTTAGAGGTCATTGCGAATCACTTAACTGGATTATAGCAGAAATAGTAGTAACTTTTTATAGACTTATTTAAGTTGTTATCCAATTATGATCTGACGCTAAAGGAAACACTTGCAACAAATTAATGAAAAGCAAATTGCTCAAAATTATCTGAGTCACAACATCTAAAATGAATTAATTACATTGATGTCTAAAATAGTTATTGATAAAATTATACACAGAGATAAACAAGCAAAATACTATGCCTTTTTGCTCGATTTCACCAGAGATGCAAGTTGTATTGAGCAAATGTCAATAATATTATGGTTTTGCAATTCTTCAACTGGAACGATATAGGAACATTTTGTTGGCCATTACGAAAACTACATGAGAGTATTTAGCGAACTCCATATTATAAGAACTAGAGAGAAATGGTCTGGACATATTGTCGAGGACAGGGATATGATAATGGCGCCAATATTTTAGGCATTAATAAAGGTGTCAAAACAAAAATATTCAACATTAATCCTACACCACCTAAAACGTTTTTCGGCTTTGTTAATAAAATCTATGTACTCTTTTCGAAGTCAAGCAAGCGTTGGTAACTTACAAAAACTAAATTGAAACTAATAATAAAACTTAATTCAGAGACGCGGTAGGAGAGTAAAATAGAAGCAGTAAAAGCTAAACTGTTGCAATTTGATAATGTTATTGAATGTATGAATGACTTGAAAAATAAAACGGATGATTTGGACACTCTAAGCGACTGCAAAGCAATTTTAAACGAAATACTAACTTTCAAATTTATTGTTGCTAAATGCGTGTGGTATGAAATTCTACTACATGTAAATAATGTAAATAAACTATGGCAATCAATTCTAGTAAACTTAAAAGCCGCTGTTGATACTTTACGTTTATTTTGTATTTGGATTCAAAAGTTCCGTGATACTGAATTTGAGAAAAGCGTTGCAGATGCTCAATTGTTTGTGGAGAAAAGCGCTTACAAAAATGAGTCACATCTTAAAGAAAAAAGAATCGCACAAAAAAAAAAAAAACGAATGTTATGAACATATGGAAGAACCTATACAACTACTGAAACACACTGCAAAGTAAATTAAAAAAATAAACACAATGATAGACGCAGTCATAGTCGACACTGATTTACAATATTAATTATTCGAAATTTTTGCCAAGAGAGGACCTGCTCAAGCATTGTAATAATTTAGGTTCAATACTTCGGAAAGGTGAAAACAGCGACATAGATCCTTTCGAACTTTATGAAGGACTGCAAATTTTAAAATCTACTTTACTAGAAAATATTAATGATGCAGAACATCATTCATATTTTCTAGTAAAGTAGATTTTAAAATTTGCGGTAAAGTAGATTTTAATTTTTAAGATATTTATTTAAATCTTTAGAGAAGCTTCTCAAAGTTAAAACTGATTAAGACCTACTTAAGACGTACGATGAGCAAAGAAAGACTATCTGCTTTATCCATTTTGTCCATTGAAGTTGAAATAACAGCTGCTGTTAGTTATGACATAATTCTAAAAAGATTCAGCGAGGCTTAAAGCTGAAAAGTTCATATTTTTTAATTTGTGTTTGTTCGTGTTATTATTGTTATTAATTCATATCATAAATAACAATAAAACTTATATGCACTTTCTAAATTTTTCAATCTAAATTTTTAAACTTATAATGAAACCTAATATTCAAATATTAAAAACAAATAAGTGAGAATACCTATATCAAAATTAAGTATAAAATAAGTATATTTAAAATAATTAACAATAACAATTCTGACTTGTGTTTATAACTTTCAATAAAATATAGTGCTCAATAAAAATTCAAGCCCAGAGATTCGGTCAAATCAAGTTTTGTTTTTTATTTATGAGTTGTTGTTTTTTTTTTTTTTTTACATAAAAGGGTCTAAGCAAAGCTAATTTTGCCGCCGTCCACGATTCGCCTAGCGCCGCCGTTGGGAATGTGATTCAGAGTATGCGAGCAAAACGAGGTAGGAGCAGAGCAAGGAGCTGAGTTGCATAGTTTTGCAGATTTTTTAACGTCGGAGCAATGCTATTTTCTCGTGCTCCAAAGCGCTCCATTATCACTCTATTACCAATCACGAGTTACGAGTGACGACTCTTTCTTTTTCTTTTAGCAATGCATATTTTTTATTACACAATATTTATCTTCTGATCAAAAAAGTGAGTGAGGAGCAAACAGTTTCACACCCAGAGCGGAGTAATTATGAAACGTTTTTAGCATGGAGCGCAAATTCTTCCCACTCAGCTAAGTTCACGCAGTCTAATGCAGACAATATTTTAAAATTAAGATGTCGGTGTGATTCAAAAGATAATTTTATGCTAAAATTGCTAATGTTTTGTTAACATTTTAAGATAAATTGAATGTTTATATAAATTCAACATCATTGTAGGTAACAACTAGTTAAAAAAATATATTTGACTAAGACAAATATATTTTTTGAATAATTACGTTTGAATAATTTTACTTTGAAAAAAAAAATAAACTACCTTGTTTATAAGAGCGCCAGTCGTTTAAAAAGAATGTGACTCTGAGCGATTACAAAAGAGCCAAAATGTCAAAATGCTGATGAAAAAAGCATATTTTAGAAACGTGGACCGACTTAAAATACAAGAAGTTTATCATCCCGAGTAACCACTGTTATTCTGATGACTTTACGCGCATGCGTGGATAGAAAACTTCTCGCAAACATTTGCATTTGAAAAGAATACAGAAGATTTTTAAGTCGATTTGCTGTGTGGGTTATCCAAATGCTTTTTCTCCTCACTGTATTTTGCCAATCATTTTGAATAGTTGTTTTTAATTATGCTATAATAAATGTTCAATAAATGGTATGGCTGATCGAAGGAAACTCCAAGGTCTGTTCATAATATATTTTCAAAATGAAGTAGGATGAAAGCTAATCAAATTTCAGGAAAAAAAAAAAAAACACGCACTTTTTACTACAAGTAGCGTTGATCTTTTTTTATAGAACTGCAATGATTAAATCTCTAATTTAAAGTATATATATATATATATATATATATATATATATATATATATATATATATATATATATATATATATATATATATATATATATATATATATATATATTATATTACAATGTGCATTAATTGTGTACTTAAACAGGAATCATTTCCTGGATATAATAATAATATAATTATTAAATTATTATTATTATTGAAAACCAACATATTTTGTGCCAAGTGCTATTTAGAGTGCTATTTTTATGATGATCAAACACAATAAATACGTTTGTGTAATTAAACGATATAGGTTCTAATTTTATACCTTTGACTTTCAGATTTCCATTAAAGTAAAACATAAAGATGAACATTTTAGATAAAATTTGAAATTTAAACAAAAAACTATAATCTAATTGTTTTGATTATAAAACATTATTTCTAAAACATCTGAGGGGTCTTTTTTGACCATATTTATCTGTGTATGATATTATATTTAAATTAGACACATGTTAATCATGATATGTAAGAGAATCGTTTACATTCAAGAATTTATAAAGACTTATAAAGTAAAATTTTATTATACTGAATTGTTTGAGGCTTAAAAACTAGTTATGAAGTCTTTACTAACATAACTATAACTTAATATTTTATTGCATATATAACTGAAACTTAATGATATTTTTTGAGTATCATATGAGCCTTTACTTACGTACACATGCATAAAATTTTTAATTTAAACATATAAGTTGTACATATTGTTATATATTTTTTTAATATTTAAACATCTTTTAGCATAATGTAACACTAAAACATCTAATTTGAAAATATGTAACTGGTAAAATATGTAACAAGTAGCAGGACATACAAGTATATTAGTTTTACTCTTACTGTCGGTGTTCTTACTCAGAGTCCAAACCAAATGTGAAACATGTGATTTGGACTCTGAGTTATATTAGCTATGAATCAAAGGAACTCATGTTTTGATTGCACCACTATGTTTTTTTTTCATTTTGAATGATATTTTAAACATTTTTAAGTAACTTCTCTACATAAACCAATCCTTTAAGTTGTATAAGTTAAGATTTTTTGAACATCCATGTACAAACTATGAAGTTTGTAAATAGATGTTCAAATCATTTGTATTTTGTATACAAACTTTTTTAAAAAAATACAGATATAAAAGTTGTTGTTGATTTGCAAATTTGTGTTAAGTTATTTTGTGATACTATTACTAGAAAAATTACTAGTATAATTAAAGTAAGTGGGTGAGAAATTTTTTGACATGCCAAAACAATTAAATTTGTAAATAATCTTTTGTAATCAATATTTTAATTTCAGCAGAGCGTTTTTAAACTAAGCGATGATTTACTTTTAGTAATCAGTTTATAAAAAGATAATTATTAATTTTAATTTTTAAATTATAATAATTATTTTTTATAATAAATATTTTTAAATTAAATAATTTTTATTAAGAATTATAATTAATAATAATATATATTGATTTTTTAATCTTTAAATGCCTTTTTAATATGTTTGTACTATCAATTTTATATAAATAAGACTTTCAACAACAGCTGCATTTTTTTAAAATAAAATTTAAAAAATAATAAACAAACAGGAACTTACAGGCGACTGAACATTAACATTCATATATACATAATGAATTACAAGTGGATTAACACCTTGCAGAAAGTCAAACAAAACATAAATGTACGTTTATATAAAGTGACTTATAGGTGAGCCAGCATCGCGCCAGTGGTCCATACATAACAAAAACATACAAATATACTAAAAAGCCAACTCACTAAATACATCAGTGGTATTGTGAAGCAGTTCTGCTTCCTCCTCATAAATATATTTTACCTTTTTATTTTAACCATTAAAGTTTGCTTTCTAATAATTTGATGCAATAAAAATGTGCTTCTAGTTTGCAAAAGACAAAATTAAAAGCATAAAAATCATAAAAAAGTTCTGCAGAATTTTTTTAAACATTATAAAGACATTGCTAAAAGAAAACGTTGCTATAATATTTTTATAGTAACACAAAGATTTAATTATTTATTTTGTTTATCTTACTTAAGAATTGTTTTAAATGTTTTAAACTTATATTATATATTACAAACTATGCAAAACATGAAATGATTATAAAAATATATTTACTTTTTTATTTATTATATAATTTAAGTACCGTTTTTACCACATTTTTCAAACCTTAACCCTCTAATCATGTTTTTTAAATAGATACGACATTTTGCATTTTATTTTTTGCATATTAAATAAGCATTTGAAAATGTTGTTTTAAAAAAATTAAGTTTATTTTTATATTTAACAAGAAATTTGAAAATGAAATGAAGTTGATAATTATTTTGTGAAAGTATTATTGTTATTTAAACATTTCTTTATTTTAAAAACTTATAAAAATATTTTTTGAATAATTTTCATAAGTTTTTTGATTATTTTGATTATTTGATAATTATTGAAAAAAATTTTATGAGTTTTTTGAATAATTTTTATAAGTTGACAATTTATTGTATACAATATTTGTTACAAATATTTTTGTTGCGGATAATCGAAGTAACATATTTGAATATTTGCACCTTTATTCATTACAAAGCAAAGTTGTTCCGTATAGAAATAAACTGTTAAACATAATAATCTGGATAAAATGTAAAAAAATAATACAAATAATATAACTATAACAATGCTGATTACTCCAAAATTAGATGAGTAGAAAGGAGTAATAAATTAAAAGATTAAAGTAGTAAATTAAATGGAGTAGAAGATTGGAAATTTGTCATTTTATTTTGATAGATAAAATGTATCAAAATTTGTATTGATAAATAAAATCAAAATAAAATTTCTTTTTTTATCAATTTATACTCAAGTCATAAAATATATATACCATATCAAATTTGAAATCATAAAGCAAAATATCGTCCTTGATTTATAACCCTTAAAAAATTAAGGAACTTGTACATATCAACAGTGTATTGTAGTTTAAGTTTATATTTAAAAAACAATAGACTTGAAAAAATGCAAAGCTGAATGCAAAGAATCTAAAAATACATAAAATAAAGCGCGCATTTGAAAAAGATTATAAGTGAAAATATCTAAAAATCATATTTAAATAAAGCAAATATAAATTTTGAAAATAACATTTCTTTTTTAAAATTCAAACATTAAAGTTATCAAATCAATTAAATTTTAAACAACCATTTTCATTCAATCTTTATTGAAACAAATATTTGCATAATTATTTGCATAATTTTAAATGCTTAATAATATATATCAATAAGTGGTATGCAGTGAATTTAAATTCGATTTTAAATTTGTCTATTAAAGCCTTAAAGCGTTATTTTGTTATTTGATCATTGGTGACTAATAATATTCAAAATCTTTTAAATATTGTTTGGATTATGTTTTTCAAAGTTTAAAAAAAACTTTGGCATTACACTCAAACCAACATCTTTATTATGTAAATTTATATAACTCTAATCTAATTCTTTCAGATTTTTCTCCATTTTTGTTTAAGCTGCTCATCAAAAATTAGCTGCATATTTATATAGAGAGAATATAAAAATATTTAGATTTTAAAAATTTTAGTTTTAAAACTTTTTAAAAACTTGCAATTTTAAAAATTTTCTAAAATGGTTAAAATATTTAAAATTAACATAAGTTAACTTTTTATTTATCATTTTTTTTTAACTTTTAAACTTTTAGTTTCAGTTTTAACTCTTTTATTATTAATTTTTGTTTCAGTCATTTTCTTATCATTTGGATTACAAATTGTTTGAGGTTTAATGCATGTTTTGCTCATAAAACAGACATGGGTGAAAAACTAAGCTAGAAGGCTTTATTACAAATGCTATTTAGCAAAGCTTTCTAACAAATTCATTACATTTTCTAAGAGTAATTAAAAAATAAACACAATTTTTGACCATTTCAAATTTGACCAAATATAATTAGCATATAATTAGATAAAACATTTTTCTTTATCTGTAAATTTTAATATTAAAATTTTTATTTTTGCTATTTTATTTTTGTTTTAATTATTTTATTTGTATTACAAGTTATTTAACTTGTAATACAAATAAGTTTTTATGTTTTTTTAAATTATCATAAAGTTCTTTCATTCAATTATAAAAAAGGTGGGACAACTGCAGTAGCACACACAGCCATGCAAACCCCAAAATTTTTATTTTATAGTTCATGAAAACCGAAGCACATTGGCTAAATCCCAACAGTGATATACATGCAATTTATATGTTTTAGAAACTGACATTTTTAGATGCTATTTAGCAAAGTTTTATTGACAATTCATTGCATTTTCTAAAAGTACTTAAAAAAATAAACAAAAAATTTTTTTTTGATTTTTAATTTAACCATATAATCTCTGTATACTATTACCAAACTTAAAATGTTGTAGGGTGTATAAAATAGGAAAACATTAAGATGAGTTATAAAGTTATAAAGTCATGTGCAAGGAAAAAAACTGGATTTATAAAAGTATTTATAGCATGAAGGGACAGATACATTAAACAGATACAACTTCTTAAATAAGAAGCCAAGCAAGAATGAATTTTGATTTTTTTTTTTTTTTTTATTATTATTCACCTCCCCAAGGCCCAAGGGGGCCACTACAGTCAAGGAGGCTACTAATTTTTTTTTTTAATTTCTTTATTTTTTATTTTTTGTTGTAAATTGTGATACAACCCTCTCTCAACTCTTTAACTTTGAAACACGAATCTTGACAAGCAAGACCGCTGTGCAGAGAAATTAAGTTGAGCGCGGTACTTCTAGGGACGTGATGGGAGTCGAACTCCGAATCTCTCGCTTACAAAGCGAGCGCTCTTACCACTACACCACTACCGCATTATCATAATAGAGATGATAGCTTGTTTGATCATTGACCATGGTTAAAACAGCATACAAGAAGAAGGTTAAAGTTTTATAATGATGATGATGATGATGATGATGATGATGATGATGATGATGATGATGATGATGATGATGATGATGATGATGATGATGATGATGATGATGATGATGATGATGATGATGATGATGATGATGATGATGATGATGATGATGATGATGATGATGATGATGATGATGGTAATGAGGATCATGTTAATCATAATGATGTATATATATATATATACATATATATAAAATATAAAATGAATTTTGAATAAAAAAAAAGTACTTTAGTTATTATTTATTTAGGTATTAAGGTATTAGGTTTATGTATAAATTTTTATGTAGCCTCGGTCACAAACCCAAACTCGGCTCCTGCTTTATTTTATCAGCCCTGGCCCTGATCAAATATCAATCCCAGTGACTTACTAGCAAGAAAGAGTTGCAGCACTTTTTGTTATAAAAAACAGTGAACGAAAGCGTATGTAAATATCTAACTTACGTAAAATTCAAATTATGTAATGTTAAAATATATTAAAACTTATGTTGAGTTTTACAGTTTTACTTTCACTTAAAAATTGCATTGCGGCAACATCTCCTTAATTTTGATGTATAATCTTTGATTCCGTTGTATAAAGTCTTGTATTTATTATATAGTTTAAAGATTTTCAGTTGTCAACGTGCCAGCGTAGCTGTGTTAAAAGTATGAATGAAAAAGCCTTTTTGTAATCTTTTTCAATTTTTTATAAATACAAAATAAAATACTTTTGATGTTCTTATAGATATTACATACATAACATATATAAAGATATTAAACACTATAACAAACAAAAGGATTTTTAAAAAAGCTAAGCATTCTAAAAAGATCAAAACACCTGGAGTGTTTTATTGCTGATTGAGATACTTATGTTATTAATATGCGAAGGTAATTAGTTGTAATAAGCTGCAGATGGTTTGAAAAACCATCTGCAGCTTATATATAACAGTCTTGCTACTCCAGAAGGTGCTGCTGTGGGTGCAAAAAAAAAAAAAAAAAAAGTCTTTTTTGCTATATATATATTTTTTTGTTATAAATATGTATGACAAATTGAAAAAGTTGAAAAAAAGTGTTTAGGGGTGAATTTAGCAGCTTTATTAAATAGGAATTAAGAAGTTGCGCTTATATATAAACACATGTTATATCAAAATGTTAAATATCCACTTATATAAAGATTTATACAGGAAAGTTTTCTTATATCACAGGATGTGTAATATAAGAATTTTCTCATATTATATAAAACATACTGTCTCATCTAAGTATAAAATTTGAAACATCCAAGTGGAAAATTTTAAACCATAACTCTGACCAATTTTAGATTTTCCCCTTTTTCGATAATTGCTAAAATTATGTCATCATCTTCTTCGACCATTAAAAATACTAGATGTAGCTTTGTCATAAATTGATGAAGCCGCATATGTGACATCACTTTGGCAAAAAACTAAAAAAAAATTAACTAATAAAATTTTGTTTGAATTTTTTAGTAGTTTCTTTTATAAAAATACATAGAATATATTTTTATGGGATATATTTTAAAAAAGACTAAATATAGCTATTAATATATTAATTCTTTAAAATGATTCATCTATTACTATTGCAATACAAATTCTTATCTGCGAAATGATGTATCTGTACCAGTTTTATATCTTTTTGTGTAATTGTATGCACCATAATCAAAATTAATTTTAAAAAATGTACAATAAAAGCAAAAGCAAACTTGACGTATAAAAGTTATTTTTGCCACAAACTGATGTCACTGCGCAAAATTTTTTGGCTCAACTTTTAGATTAGCGTTTTTATAGCTAAGGCTGCCTCTATAGTTTTCAATGGTATAAGATTTTTTTAGTTCTGCCATTTCTATAGTGTATGTACAAATGTCTGTAAGTGTAAGGGTCTTTAGCATAAGTTAAGTTTGCAGGCATTATATAGAATAATCGACATTGTATGGAATAAAAAGATAGTATATGGAACAATCGTGCATAATATATCTATTGTAGATATATTATACACGATTATAATTGAGAAAACTTCAAAGTTTTATTTTAACAATTAGAAATCTTTTTTGATATATTATTCTTTTGCTATAAATATATAAGCAAGATTGAAAAAATTTCAAAACTTATTATGCTTAGGAGAGGTCTTATACCTCCCCCTCCCTCCCCCAATGATACTGATAACAAAGCACTAAACCACTGAGCTGTCAATGATATGCATTTAGTAGAAAAGCAAACCTAATCATAAATCTCTTATAAGCTATATGTATGAAGAAAAGTTGCGCATTTTTTTGCTTTTAAAGCAGTTTTTCAGAATGAATTTTTTTACTAAACAGTATTGAGGTAAATAAGGAATAAGTATAGAAATGGTTGGTGTGGAATAGATAAGTATAGAAATGATTGGTTTTGTAAAAAACTGTTTTTAAGGGTGTGGAAAGCTAGAACATAAATATAAGAAAAAAGTATATAAAAGATCGGTTTGGAATAGACTTACCAAGACCATATTTTTACGGGTCTGGTATTAGAAATTATATATGGTATAGAATTAGAAATAAAAATTTTTCTTTTTTTATCTGTAAATGTTTTTATCATAAAGTTTAAATTTTTATTTTTCTATTTTAATTTTGTTCTTATTACATTAATGTTTTTACTTATTTATATTACAAGTTATTTAACTTCTTTTGTGTTTCAAATTTTGGTTTATGTTGTTTTAACTTAGGAGAAGTGGAACGGTGTTTGAAGAAAGTTAGTGAAGGTACTGAAGCTTTTGAAGAAATTTGGCAGAAAGTTCAGAACGCAACAAATTTAAATCAAAAAGAAAAGTATGAAGCTGAATTGAAACGAGAAATAAAAAAATTACAGGTTAATTTAATATTTAAAAATTATTTAAAAAATATTATATATATATATATATATATATATATATATATATATATATATATATATATATATATATATATATATATATATATGTGTGTGTATATATATATATATCTATATATATATATATATATATATATATATATATATATATATATATATATATGCATATATATATATATATATATGTATATATATATATATATATATATATATATATATATATATATATATATATATACACACATATGAGGTTGAACGGTAAATCACCCATCTAAAATGGACTTGGTGGACAATAAGATTTTTGCAAGGCTTTTATAATATTTAGATAAAGAAGCTCATGGATGAAATAAAATGGATTATTTTTTAGTACTTTTTTAAGTTTTGCTCTGTAATGTTTTGTATCATATCATAAATACATAAAAAAAAACATTCTTCAGCAGTGAATTTTTTTTTCTGATATTCAAGCATCAAAACATCAGAAAAATTGTTAAAAAGAACAATTGCCAGTATTGTCAGAAAAACAATCGCCAGTATTGTCAGAATCACCGGTATTGTCATGCCAGTATTGGTTTTTTGATATTTATTTTATCCAAGCATTAGTTTTCTAGAAAAATGTTAAAAATGTCACATTTGAACAAATTTTTTAAACTCTATTTTAGCAGAGTTTGGAAATTTATTAGAAAATATTATACTGCTTTTTTATTGAAACAGTTTTATTTTGATTAAAACAATATTATTTTGTGTTGCGTTTCTTCTTATTTTCATATTTAAAAAGTTCCAAGAGTAATTATTAGAAAAAACTTTTGTAATTAAATCTTGAATTAATACTTTTGAAATTGTTTTTGTGTCACTTTAAATTTAATTTTGAATTTAAACAAAAAATAAAGTTATTACTGTTTATTAAAAAAGGTTTAGTTTAAGTTTTAAGTAAGCATGTATCTATTATTTTTACTTTAATTAAGTTGTATTTTAGATAAATACAAGCAACAATAAAAATAGTGTGTAAAAAAGTATATTTACTTTTTTCAAAAGTTTTTAATTAAAAATATATATTTTTTTAATTTAATTTAATTTAATTTTAATCAATTTATTTAACCATGAAATTAAAAATTACAAATTTAATTATAATTTATAAAATTAGATTCGGTATTACTCTAAAGTGAAACTTTAATATAATAAGAAAATATTAAGGCAAGTAAATAATAAAGAGAGTAAACTACAATAATACAAGTAACAATATATAAAAATTAATATGAACAATAATATTTAAAAAAAACATGAATCAGAATAAAAATATTGAAGTCAAAAAAAACTATTAGGATGAGTGAGAAAAAAATGTATGAGAAAACGCAAATTTAAATGACATAAGTTCAGATGGATTGATTGAGATTATGTGTTACATATATTAATTAAACAACAGTAAATAGCAAGAAAAAGCAAAAACAACAAATTTGACAGAAAAATGCAAAAAAGTAAATACATTTAACATTATTTATATACATAAATACAAGGCATATCAATAATGTACAAAATTAATTAAAAATTGTTCTTTTTTTTTTCTTTCCATAAAATATTGGTGGTTGAAAAATTTTTAGTTAAATTTAAAAGCTTTTTAAAAACTACTAAAGCGTTGTTGTTGTCGTTGTTTGTTTGTTTTTTTACAGTTTTTTTAATAAGTTTTTTTAATGAAATTCTTATACTGGTCATTTGAACATATCAAGTTTATTTAAAAATAATCATGTCAAAAAAAAAAAAAAAAACATTGATATAAACATATGCCAAGTCATGTATCAATGATGAAAGTATTTATGTATGTCCTAATTTTTATACACAGAGACTTCGAGAACAATTAAAAACGTGGGCAACTTCAAGTGATGTCAAAGATAAAGATTTGTTAAGAGAAAATAGAAAACTAATTGAATTGGTTTGTGGTTTAAATATCTTTTATATTTAAAACTAAGTTTTTCAAAAACATTAAGATTTTTTTTTTTTAATTTTCTTTTGTTTAATATTTAAAAATTATGAAAATATTTTATGTTTTTATTTTACTCTTTTTTTAAATATAAAAATATTTTCAAGCAATTGTCATTTAATACTAGCAAATGGAAAGGTTCAGAGTTGTGGAGAAAGAAACAAAGACAAAAGCCTATTCAAAAGAAGGTATTTGGAGTTTTAAAAAGTTTTTGCATTAAAAGCAAAAAGTAAAAATTAATTTTCTTCAGTTTTATTTATCAACCTTTATTTATTTATTAAATTTATTTTGCATAGTTGCAATCTTACTTAACATAAAATAAAATTAGGCATTGCATATATTAATTGCATAATTTGAATCAAGTTAACTTGAAATTTGAAAGATGGGTAAAATAAACATGGCTAATTGTGTTGTGTTTGAAATGGTTTTCACACTATTTAGTGTGAAAACCGAGGGTTTTTTTTTTTTTTTAAAGTTTTTTTTATTTGTTTTTTTGATCAATTTATTTCAACCATATTATATTAATAGCAACACCTTACACACAATTGATATGCATAATAAGGCACAGTTACAAACAGAAAATCTGTCAATATGACAAACAATGATAAAAAAAAAATTAACAGTAATAATGCATGAACAGTACTGAACTTAATAGTTTTAATAGTAGTGCCCACTTGTAAGTTTTGACATGTAGTTGACAGCATCCATTAAAAGGAAAGGCAAGAAAAAATTTTCTAAACTTTTTTTATATACAAAATTTATGAAATTTGTATATAGATATGTAAATATGTAACTTTCCTAGGAAGCACATGCAATTTTCCGTCTATTTAATAAAACTTGCAAACTGCCATGACCAAGTTGTCTAAAATAAAATACTCATGCGGTGTATGTCCATGTGTGAGTTTTTTTTTAGACAACTTGGTCACGGCTGTTTGGAAGTTTTATTATATTAAGCATTGTGGAAAAAACTAAGTAATAGTAATCGTAATATATATTTCTGCATAAATAATATTTCACAGAGTATTTATAAATATAAATTTATATAAACAACTGTGCAGCCCACCAACAGTAGATAGTGCCCTATAGGAGCCCGAGCTTAGCCTGTCATTTTCTTAAACATTTTGATCAGTGATTTCATCTTATTTCCAGCGTTGTTAGATAAAGTCTATTCATTCACTCTTTACACAATAGGTTTCTCATACAATGTGTAACTTTGGGAGCTCTTCCTTGAACTTGCTCAATTTATAAGATATCTCCTTCTAGATATAGTCTCCAAGCAGGTACAGCAAATCCTAGATGTGTGCAGATATAAATGGTATATAGCGTTCTCCATAAGTGCTCATTTCTTGATTGAAATTTATGTTTCAAAAGCCCAAGTATACTATTTACTTTTGCCACTATGTAATTTACATGTGCATGAATTTTTAAATCTTTGAATATAACAACACCTAAATCTCTTATTGTTTTGGGGTTTTTAATTTTAAAAATACACCCATTTGCGTTTGTAATTGAGTATTCATGATGTGGACTTTTTTTTACCTATATGCATAACCATACACTTATCAATATTTAGTTCCATAAGCCACATGTTGCACCAGGTTGAAATTTTGTTAAAACTATCCTGAAGTTCTAGCGAATCCTTTAAATGTTTTGGTTTTATAGGTTTTATTAACTTAGTATCATCAGCATAAATAAAACATCGAGTTTTGAGTTCTCTCAGTAAGTCGTTTATGTATAATACAAATAGAATTGGTCCGAGATCCCAGTGGTACACCACTTGTTACATTCACCCAATCTGATACAACATGACCCATAACTACCCTTTGCCTCCTATTTATTAGAAAAGCCTCAATCCAATTTAGTATTTTTCTATTTAAACCATACATTGATAACTTAAGCATTAATTGTCGATGTGGCACTTTATCAAAAAAGCTTTAGAAGTCTAAATATATCATATCAACACTACTTTTACTAACTATACATTTTTTGGACAAATATGAGCAAAAAAACCATGTTGTTCCTTGGTGATTAAATTATTTGTTGTTAGATGGTTGTTTATGTGTTGCCTTATAAAATTTTCTGTGACTTTGCATTGAATCAATGTGATCGAGACCGGTCTGTAATTGGATGGTTCTAGTTTACTACCTTTTTTAAAAATAGGGCTAACATTTGCTTTAGTCCAAGCATTTGGAATACATCTACTATTATAGGAGAGCTGAAAAATTAGTTGCAATGGTAAAGAATTCTACGCACATTTTTAAGACTTAAGGGTTAGTTCCATCTCCACCAACCAATTTGAAAGGATTAAGTTTTGAAAAATGGGATTGCGCTTCATCAATTGTGAAATTTATATTTTCGATTGGTTTATAACCAATTGAGATTTAAAAAAGAGCAAGGGCTCCGATTCATTTTCTTGTATAAAAACTGATTGGAATTGTTTGTTCAATGTGTTAGCTTTATCTTTACCCGTTATTGTAATAGTACCATTTTGATTGTATAATGCATTAATTTTTTTAATTTCAAAAACAAAGAAAGTTTACAAAATAGAAAATTAAAATAAAATTTAATAGAAAAAAATAGGAAATAAATAAAAATTTCAATAGTTTGTGTATTGTTTTTATTTTTGTTTTTTTAGAGTGGTTGTTAAAATACAGCAACAAAAATGGATAAAGCAAAACAAAAAACAAACAAACAAAAAAAACAGTTTCAAGTTGACATTGACATTGAAAAGAATGATTTTTCTATATTTTATTTGTTTTTTTTTATAAGAGGAAAGCAAAAGTATAAATTGCTATCTGTTGTATAATATATTTGTATAATTTTAATGCAACAAGTATATTTTGTCCCTATATGAATCAGTCTATGTAAAGCATACATAAATTTTTATGTATAACTTTTTTTATTACATAAAGCGTTTACTTCATACATGGAATGTCTGTGGTTCGAATCCTACCCCTAACTATATTTTTTAATTGTTTTACTTTTAAATACCACTGGATATATATTTGCTTTGTAACCATTTATCTTTTCTTTTTTGTATATAATTGATCTTTTTGTTGTATGTTTTTGAATTATACACATCTCTTCACATTCAAATTTCTTATACTATTTTAGCTGTTCAGTGTATTTTCTAAGGTGCACACACATATACATAAATTTTAAGCTTTAATTAAAACACATTTTTAACACAACCTTAATTTTTTCATATTACTTTTCTATTCCTGTACATTTTTTATGTCCAATTTTTAAGGGCTTTGTAATTTTGGATATCTATTGCTTGTTAACATTTGGCTCTGTGCATTTAGTTCTACCTGTGCCCTCCCTCTTGGTCTACTGTTTGGTGTTATTTCTACTATTTGGTGTTATTTGTGAACAGTTATTAATAATAATAATCTATAATTATTGTTATTAATAATTGTTAATAACAATAATTATATATTATTATTATTATTAATAATTATCTAGAATTATTTTCAATAATTATCTAGAATTATTATTGATAATTATCTATAATTATTATTAATAATTATCTATAACTTTTATTAATGATTATTTACAATAATTATTAATAATTATCTATAACTTTTATTAATAACTATAATGGGAAGTCGTAGGATTCGAACCACAGACATTTCATTTATTGAGTAAACTCCTTATTCAAGTAAGTTAAACAAACATACTTATGAACAAATAAATATAATTATATAATAAAAAGAGTTATACATAAAAATATATCCATGCATTACATAGACTCATTCATATAGGGACAATATATACTTGTTGTATTAAAGTTATACAAATATATTATACAACAGATAGCAATTTATACTTTTGCTTTCCTCTTATTAAAAAAAAAAACAAATAAAATATAGAAAAATAATTTTTTTCAATGTCAGCTTGAAACTGTTTTTTTTTTATTATTATTTTATTTTGCTTTGCCTTATCCAATTTCATTGCTGTAAATAACAATCACTCTAAAAAAACAAAAATAAAAACAATAGACTAATTATTGAAATTGTTAATTTTAATTTTTTTTTTTAATTTCGTATTTTGTAAGCTTTGCTTTTTTTGTTTTTGAAACGCTTAACATAATAAAACTTGCAAACAAGCATGACCACTAGGTCACAGGCGTTTATCTAAAGTAATCTAAAGTACAGCATTCTTCTTCTTATTCTGTAACCTCAGGGGTTCCTTAAGGTTCAATCCTTGGCCCTATACTCTTTTTGCTTTACATTAACAAACTTCCAGATATTCTCACATCTAAGGTGGCATTGTTCGCTGATGATACTACCATTTATTGTCACAATAAGAAGCTAACTTCCTCTGATTGCTTGTAGGAGCCATTTGAGCTTGAAAAGGATCTCACTTCTGCTACAGCATAGGGCTCACAGTGGCTGGTAAACTTTAATTCAGATAAAACTTATTTTTTTTCAGCCAATCGTCATCGCAATAATTTAGACCTTCCTATATTTATGAACGGTAATGTACTTGATGAGTCATCTACCCTTCATCTTCTAGGATTAACTCTTACTTCTGATCTTTCTTGGAAACCTTATATCAAATCCAATGCAAATTTAGCATCTGCTAAAGTTGCATCTCTTTATTGAGCTTGACACTTTCTTACTCTGGATTCTATTCTCTATCTCTATAAATCTCAAATCTGGCCTTGTATGGAATGCTGTTGCCATATCTGGGGCGGATCTTCTAATGATGTCCTTTCTCTTTTAGACAAGGTGCAAAAATGCATTGTAAACATAGTTGGACTTACTCTTGCGGCCAACCTTCAACCTCTGTCACATCGTCGTAATGTTGCTTCTCTTTCTCTTTTCTACAGATGCTATAATGGGCACTGCTCTAAAGAGCTAGCGTCTCTTGTGCCATCTACTAAAATGCTTGCAGCCTTGTTGGAAGCGAAGATGTTAAAAAATAAAAAAAAATTACTCATGGCGTGGGCAAACAAAACAAAAAACGTATATCTTTCCTGGGAAGGCTTGTTGTTTATATTATATAATAATTTATAATATATTTAAGTATCTGTAAGTGTAAACATCAGCTAAGTTAAGTGTGCAGGTCATATGTAACTCGATGGGTACAAGGCTGTCTCAAAAACATATTCATATATATTGACATATTTTTTCTATGTTTTAACATAGTTTTTACCTACTGGAAAGGATTGTATATCTAATATAAGTTGATATGTATAATATATGTATTGATATGTATAATTAATAAAACTTTCAACATTTTTCTAATAATTATCAGTCATTTTCGCTAATATTGTTTTGCTTTGTATTTAAAAAGTATGATTATCTGATAAATACAATTTTCACTTTTCACAAGTCAAGAATTTTCAGAAACTTTTAATTCTCAATGAGAACAGAACACTAAACCACTAAAACATTAAAAAAAAAAAGAAGGTAAAAAACACAACTTTTTATAAACTTTATATGGCTATTTATTTTATTAGTAATTATTTTATTTTCTTAAGTTTAAAAAGTAGTTACTTAAAGTTATACAAGTTGTTAATGTAAAGAATTATTCAATTTATTTTTATAAGTTTAAAATATGGAGATGTAATAATTTGATTATGTTCAGGATTAGGGTTAAAGGTTAGGATTTGTGCCAAATTCTATTAAAAATCGTTTCGTTTATTTTTGTTTATAATCTTCATTAGGTTTTGATTTTAATTTTTGTTTTATAAGTGACTACTTTCATTCCTTTTTTTGATTTATTCCTTTTTCTTTTAAATATTACTTTTTTTTTTTCTATAATATTATTAGGGTAACCATATGTCTTCTTTACCCGGATCATTCCTCTTTTTTTTTTCATTAAAAAAAATCTGTTCAGGGAAGTTTTCTCAATTAGCTCCAAATGTCTGGATTTTTTCTTGAAATTCAACCTAAGTTTTTTTGTGAAAGCGTTGACATTTGTCTTCAGTGTTATCAAAGTTTCTGTTCAAGTCATGGTACGTAACCCTAAATAATTTCTTTTTCATTTCTTTATATTTTATTGCTTTAATATTTGCTCGGTTTGTAATTAAATACCTCAAATACATTTTAAATACTTAAAATACAAACAAGAGTGTTGGTTGGGTTAATGAAATCGTGTCTTGATAAAAATACTCATTTTTGGTAGATGGTAATTGCATTCAGCTACTTGAGTATATATTACATGTTACATAGTTTACTACCTTAGGATAATGAATGGTATTAATTAGCTGGATCTTCTAGACTTTACTCATAGATATTTTCTTGTGCTGCTTCAGAAGTGACAAATCAAATCTTTTGTTTTCCTTTTCAGTTTCCTTTTAAAGACATATCTTTTACCTAAACTTATTTTTTACTTCTTACTAACTCAGTTTAATGATTCTGTGGCCAGTTACTTAGTTTCCCAAACTCTATATGCGAGTCTGATACTATCAATTATGTAAGATATCAGTGCAAACATCAATATTTTAAAGCTATTAGAGGTTTTGGATGTATGTTATGGCCGCATAAGGAGCACTTTATTACAACTTTAATTTGATTAGGTGGACTGAGGCATCTACATATCTTATTGCTTAAGGTACTATGTGGTACTAGGTACTATGAACTATCTATGATTAAGTCAAGTTCTTTAATAACATGGCTAAAGCACCTAAAAATATTGTTCATAAAAAACATTACTACTAAATTATTTCAATCTATCTTTTACAAATGTTTGTGGTAAAATTTCAGTTCAAAAAAAGTTTTATCTGTTAAATTTTTTTCTCTTGCAAGTTAATGTGATCTTTCATATGATTGAATGTGATCTTTCATATGATTGAATGTAATCTCTCATAGGATTAAATGTGGTCTTTTATATGATTGAATGTGATCTCTCATATGATTGAACGTGATCTCTCATTTTTTTAGTTTCTAATGCCTGGTGAATTTTATTCCTAACAAAACCCTGTTTTTTACTGCTAAAATTTATCACAATGTTAGTATTTCTATGTTAATGAATGATTCTTTCTTATTGAGTCCTCTACTTTACATCCTCTTGGATTTTTTTTTCCTACTCAGCTCTTGGAAAACCATGTATGCAATCTTTGGAAATCAGTATCTGCTTTATTATGGTTGAAATTTTCTTACTTATTTGTCCTTGTAAATAATACTGTTGCCATATTAGGGCATAGGCCAAAAATGCATTGCCCATTTTTTCTATTTGAACCTACTCTACCTGCCAAGTTCGAGTGTACCTTTCATTATGTAAGATTGTATCTCTCTTTTTTACCAGTACTACCATGGTTGCTGCCTAAGTTAGCTACCATCTCTATTTACTTCAACCAAAACAAGTAAAGTTTTAGGTTACAAGAACAAGTTTTGAATCTCATTTTATGAGATTTAAAACTTGAAGAGACTGTTAAGTTTCTTTATTATAGACCAAAACTCTCATCAAAGAATAATAAAGAAACTTAACGGTCATAGAAAGCCAAGTTTAAATAAAATTTAAAAATGCTGGATTAGTGTGGTACACAGAGAATATAAATGCTGAAACTTTTTGCTTACTAAACATGTTTTGTAAATGACAAGTTTCAGTTTCGATGCTTACCACATCTTTAGTAGCACCTTGCTTATCTTGTGCTTCTGTGAAGCAACTTTTTCAAGATTCATTTTTCAAGTTCAAGGGGTTCATACAAGTTCAAGTTTCAAGTTCAAGGGGTTCATTTAAGTTAAAAGGGTTGAGAGTGGATTTTACTACCAATTAAAAAATAACAAAAAAATGAATTCTATTGTAGTGGCCCCTTGGCTTTAAGGAGAACAAACTAATATTTATATTCTGATTATATTTTACGTAACATTTTAAAAACAATATTAACATATTTTCGGAGGACCTTTATGGACATGTTAGTAATTTTCAAATACTTTCTTTGTTCCTCTGTGGACATGTTAGTAATTTTTAACTAGGTATAGTTTAACTTAAATATTTACGAACTTAATCTTGAAAAATAAAATTGTTAAATACAAAGCTTACAAAAAAACTTTTTTCTGCACAGCATTTAGCCCACAACCTCTCAGCTTTTTTTTATCCCAAAATTTTATGAGATTTTAATGTCTAAATGTCATATATTATGTAACATATAGATCACTTTTATTTTCATTATATATTCACCTTCCAAAACCTAAGAGGCAATATTATAGGAGGCTCTTTTTTTATTTCTCTATTGTTATACAAAACACAAACCTTGAAATATAAGTTGAAAAGTTTACTTCCAGAGGGTTGTGATGGGTTTGAACTACTTACCTTGTGGTTTTAAAGGGAACTCCACATATTAGGAACAGTTATTTTTAACTGGTGAAACCAATATTTGTAATCATAATAGTTTTTTTTTAAGATGTTGATAATCATGTTTAGGCCTTGGTCAAGCATTCAAAATAGATCCAGAAACAAAAGAATTTGAAAGATGCAGAGAATGGCTAAATGTAAGTATAAGATAAATGTTTTTATTAAAATTTTTGTGATAAAAAAAAATGTTAAAATCAACTAAAACAGGTCATTGCATTCTTGCAAAACAGTTTACCACTCATAACAAAATTTCACCACCATTCATAACAAAATTTCACCACCATTCATAATAAATTTCTTCAGTGCTACCAGTTTAAAACTTGACAATTTTTAAAAATTTATTTTGTTTAATTCACTTCCCCAAGGCCAAGAAGGCTGCCTCAGATGAGGAGCTACTCAATTGTGGTTATAACCCTCTCTCAACTCTATAACTCCGAAACAGGAATCTTGATGAACAAGGCTGCTGCACGAAGAAACAAGTTGAGCGTGGTACTACCAGGGACATGGTGGGGATCGAACTTGGAACCTCTTGCTTATTAAGAGGTTCTACCACTACCGCATATTAATCAATTTTAACATTTTTTGCAGAAATGTTAAATATATAAACTTTGAAGTAGCAAATATATAAACTTCAGGTAGTAAATATATGGGAAGCAAAATAAAGAGAAGCATAATATTGAAGCAGAGACCAATTTTAAAATAGATTTGATACATGATTTCTGGGAAAGGTCAGTAGGAAAAATTAATTGGAGAATATGAGAAGAAGAGGTCTATTCTATGTATTCCTGTTGGTGAGTAATGTAGTTGTAATTTAAATAAAAGTAACACTCGTCACATGTTACTGAGGGTTCTAGATCAAAAGGAGTGATTATTCAAAGTTATCTACCGTTCTAAGCAATCTAAAAGTAAAAGCTATTCATTAACATAGAAATGTATATTGTTGCACCAACAGCAAAAGCTTATTACATTAGGTAGGTAGGCAATAAATAAAAATTAATATAGAACTTAGGATGGGCTATTTTGGTACCTCGAAATTAAAATATGAAGAATATTAGCCATGAAGGATAACTTTATTTTGCAACCAGAGAAAAAAGGTTTGAATTCAAGTTTTGAATTATAAAAGTAAAGAATTTTTTTTATCATATGTAGAGAGCCTTTGAAGTAATTCAGTATGCCACGCTTTTTTTTTTTTTTGAGTGTCTTTGATATGTTTTAATTGTTTCTAATGAATGTTCAATAAAATAAATATTTGAATATTATAAGTACTATTTGGTTAACGAATCAGAAAATTTAAATAATTATTATAACTTTTTTTTAAATTTTGTTAATTAGAAATAATATGGAAACGTGTCTACATATATATATATATATATATATATATATATATATATATATATATATATATATATATATATATATATATATATATATATATATATATATATATATATATATATATATATATATATATATATATATATATATATATATATGGGTATAATTCAATAAATACGGTTGCGTATAAACTTTTTCAAATATATATATTATTTCTTTAATATATAATTATTTAAATATATATATATATATATATATATATATATATATATATATATATATATGTATATATATATATATATGTATATATATATGTATATATATATATATATATATATATATATATATATATATATATATATATATATATATATATATATATATATATATATATAATAGTATTGCGTACTAAGTAAGCAATCTGACGTCATACTGAAATAGGCTGCTGCTGGGGGCTTCAGTACATGTATATATATATATATATATATATATATATATATATATATATATATATATATATATATATATATATATATATAATAGTATTGCGTACTAAGTAAGCAATCTGACGTCATACTGAAATAGGCTGCTGCTGGGGGCTTCAGTACATACATCGACTGACATATAGCCTGACTCGCAGTGGAGTGCTGCTACATCGACTGAGGGTTTGGGATGGGGAAGCAATCGTTTCATTCATCATTCTTCGTTTTTTCTTCTTTTTCGAAAAAAACGGTATAGCTCAAGGTAAGCAGAAAAAGTGAGCAAATGCATATCGAAACACGCTTTAGTAAGTGTGTATATATATATATATATATATATATATATATATATATATATATATATATATATATATATATATATATATATTTAACAACTTCGCTTCCAACAAAGCTGCAAGCAACCTCTAATTAAAGTTTGAAGTAACTGGAAGAGAAAAGATGGAGGTTGTTGAGCAAGATAACGATTGACAGATGACTTAAAAGATTGCAAATTATATGAATTATGAAAGCAAGATAAAGGAAGCGAATTCCAAAGAACTGATGTTCTAAGAAAAAAACGCATATAGAGGAATAAGGAGCATTTAGGAACAGTCACAGAATGAATTTTTGTAGATAGCACAAAAGGCGCTAGCTCTTTAGATCAGTGCCCATTATAGTATTTATAGAAAAAAGAAAGAGAAGCAACATTACAATGATGTGATAATGGTTGAAGGTTGGCTACAAGATCAGGTCCATTTCTGTTTACAATGCGTTTTTGCACCTTATCTAAAAGAGAAAGGACATCATTAGAAGATTTGCCCTAGATAATGCAACCTATTCCTTATGAGTCCTGATTTGAGATTTATAGAGATAGAGAATAGAATCTGGAGTAAAAAGGTGTGCAACCTTAGCAGATGCTTATTTTGCAATAAATTTGATATATTGTTTCTAAGAAAGATCAGAAGTAAGAGTTAATCCTAGAAGATGAAGGGTAGATGATTCATCAAGTACATTACCATTCATAAATATAGGAAGGTCTAAATTATTGCGATAACGATTGACTGAAAATAATTGAGTTTTATCTGAATTATAGTTCACCAGCCACTGTGAGCCCCATGCTGTAGCAGAAGTGAGATTCTTTTCAAGCTTAAATGCCCCCTTCAAACAATCATATAGCTATAATAATCATATTGGCTTCTTATCATGACAATAATAAATGATAGTATCATCAGCGAACAATGCCACCTTAGATGTGAGAATATCTGAAATATCCTTAATGTAAATTAAAATGAGTATAGGCAGGGTTGGCAAAAACCCAAGTTTTTTTAAAAAAAACATGACCCAGTGGGTAAATATGGGTTTTTTTGGGTTTTATTATTATTTCGTCTCTAAATAGTTTTATAATAATATTGGAAATTAGTTTCATTTTCTACTTTAACTTTTTTTTTAAATATATTTTATATAATGTTATTTAATGATTTATAACAAGATTTTTTCAAATTATTTTGAAAAAGATTTTTAATTATAATTTAAAACTGTAAGAAAAAAAATTTTCACATTAAATCTTTATGTATTGATTTATTTTAAATTTAAAGTATTAATCTATATAATTAAAAATGTCAATGAGAAATGGGAAAAAGAAGGCTAGAGAATGAGTGGTCGTAACTGAAGTTTCAATTAAACTTTGAACTTGAAATTCAAATGAACAAACTTGTTTCTCCGCACAGCAGCCTTGTTTATAAAGATTTGTGTTTAGGAGTTAAATAGTTGAGAGAGGGTTGAAATCACAATAATGTAGCCTCTTTGACTGTAGTGGGCTTCTCTGGCCACTACTACTCATTCACCTTGGGAGGTGAATAACATAAAAGAATTAAAAATCTCTATCGATAAAAATATTTGAATAAAAATTGTAATAATGTATTTCCAAGTAATGATTCAAATATTAGTAAACCTGCTCTGGTAGCTGTTATTGTTGGTTATAATTGTTAATAATAATAGCTAATAATAATTTAGTTAATAATAATAGTTAATAATTATTTTAGTTAATAATATTATAGTTATAATGTTAAAGTTGGTTATAATAGTTCATAAACTTATTAAATATTTAAAAAAAAAACAGATTTCTAGGGTTTTATTGGGTTTTTTTAGGGCGGTTTTATTGGTTTTATTGGACGGGTTTTTTTGGGCAGGTTTTTTAATGCCAACCCTGAGTATAGGAACAAGGATTGAATCTTGTGGAACCCCTGAAGTTACAGAATAAGAGTGCTGTCCATCGAGGACAACTTTTATACTACAATTTATATTATCGAGGACAACTTTAATATTACAATAATAAAAAAAGAAGGATTCAATAATCATGTTACTAGATATACCGTCAGAAAAACGTTTATGGAGAAACCAGCATACCAAATTTGTTCAAAAGCTTTAGAAATGTCAAGAGCAATAGACTTAACCTCTCCACTTTTATATAATGCACAATAAAACCTATCGGTTATTACTGTTAGCAAATCAGCTGTAGAATAAGAAGATCGAAATCCATATTGATGGTCAGAAAGTAAGTTATTAGATTTAAAAAATAAGACTCTGATAAGCACTTAATGAATAGTTTTGAAAGTATAGACAACAGCTCCGGAGAACACTTCTGCAAAGACTGTAACGGGTATGTTGTCCAGCCCGCAAGCTGTAGAAGAGTCTAAGAAGGAAATCACTTTAGATACAGAAACTGGAGTGATATGATTGTCAAGCAATGTATCAACCTGTTTGACAGCTATATCAGGTAGAACGCAACTAGTGGAATCAAGAGATGATATTGATGAAAAGTTCTTAGCGAACAATTCAGCTTTGTCTTTAGGTGAGGTGGCAAAGTCTGAAGCATACAAGAGAGGTGGAGTAACAGATTTGCCCTTATTATTGATACTATTAAAGATTCTCCAGAAGTCACAAGAGCCTAATTTTTGTGATGAAATATGAGATTTCATGACCTGAGAATAGCGCTTTGGCATTAGACAAAACCTTTTTCCAATGGTTTCTAGCAGTTCTCCAGAAAACAGACGTCTGTTTTCTGGAGAATTGTTTTGCTAATAGATATGGAAGTAATAGTTTCGATTGGTTATTGCAGCAGCACAATATAAAGAAAACCATGGAGATAAGTGAGACCTGGATTTGTTGAGAGACAGAATAAAAGTGCCAGCCTGAATCCAAGAAGTTATGTAAAAAGCACATTTGTCAGCAGGAAGACAAATGATTTGTACCCAAGGGCCATCACAAAGAAAATCACGAAAAGAGTCCCAATATCAAAATATATTTTTGGACGGTGACACAGTTTACAAAATTCAAATCATGCCAATTTCCTTTAGACCCTTGAATAGAACATTTTCAGGACCACTTGTTTGTTTAATAGTACATACAGCCATTCAAAAATGTTTAAGAACTGTTTCTAAAACATGATATTTGCATGCAAGCATCAGCATAGGTTTCCCAATATCTTTTCTTAGCCTGAATGATTTACAAATATAAATAGTTCACATTTCTTTATAATTAATTTCAAAATTTAAATTACAAAGTTTAATGAGCATCTAGTTTACGTTTAGCATTAGTAATAAAATTACCTGTATATTGAACCACGAATCATTCCAGTATTACTAGCAGCTCCAAACAGACGATTAATCCCCCTGTTCTCAAAACAATGCAAATTTGGTTAACTGGTTTATCTTTGTGAGCTGTTATTAAGTCCTAGATTATTTTTATATTAAGAATTAAAAGATTAAGAATTTAAAAAAATTATTATATACATCAACTTTATCTTTTTATTGTCATCATATTTAGTAACCTTGATCAGCTTTCCATCAAAATGCAATTGAACAATTTTGTTATGTTTAATCTCATTTTGAAGAAGAATGTTGAGATCCTCTGCATCCTTATTAATTAACCTAATTTTTATTTTGATGATGTATGACTGACTGAAATTAGTGAGGCAAATCTAGCTGGCTATATTATACAGACTGAAATTAGTGAGGCTAAACTAGCAGATTATTCTAATCACTATTCATTTTTGAGTTTAAGAGGGTTTAACTTAAAACTGTGGCACAAAATCAAAAAATTGTTAAAACTTGTATAAAAGGTATTTAAGAGGCTTTAACTTAAAGGGATCCCTTAGTAACTTCAACTAAGAGGCTTCAACTTAAAGACTTTAACTTCTCCCTAAGAGATTTCAACTTAAAAGGATCCCTAAGTGTTGAGACAAGATGTGTTCATATTAAAAAGAATGATAAAATAAAATGTTTGGGCTGAATAATTTTGAGTAAAACAAAATAGTAAAAATATACCAAGAAAAACTAACTTTGTTGATTTACTCAAAGCTTGTCGTCTCCATGTTGTCGTCTCCATGTTAGTTTTCTCCAGCCACATAATGAATCTTAATTAATGCATAATAATGCATCATAATAAGGTCACTACTGGTAGTATCTTAGAGTAGATGCCAGAAATATAATGTTATAAAAATCTTTGTGTAAAAAAAAATTATTTTAAAGATTAAAAATGTTTTTGTGAATTATGATTATATGAAGATCTATTTTATTATTTTCTATTATATTTTTATTTTTTATTTATTTAATTTTTTCAATTTTTGCGTTTTGCCCAGTGATAACAAGTGGTTTTTGGAGTTTTTGTTTAGTTTTGTAAAAACTTGTTATATAGAGGTTCATTTAAAATTGTAAATACTTTTAAACTATCTTTAAACTATCTTCAAACTATCTTTAAGCTATCTTTAAACTATCTTTTTTTTAAACTTAAAAATTGTCATGGTTGTCATGACAATTGTCATGGTTCAAAGAATTTTATAATTCCTTATAAGCGAGTCTTACTTTATCTCTAGTTTATTATTTTTAGAGAAACCTGTTCTCAAAGTAGAAAAAATAGTTATAGTAAGTTTGCTTAATTATAAACAGTTTGCCAAGTTTTTTTTTTTTAATTTTTTTTTTTTTTTTTTTGAAACTTAGTTTAGTAAATTTTAAATTTTAATTGTCAAAATATAGATCTTAAGCCTTGGGTCACGTAATCCAACAACTTCATTAAAAGAAAAAAAAAAATTGAATTCTCTCTTTATTAGTGTTTTTCATAATCAAATTTTTTAATTCATCTATATTGTTATATTATTTTTCATTTTCTTTATTATTATTTTTTTGTTTTTTTTTCTTTATTTATATTTATCCTTTTTTTTTGTTGTTCAGGAAGCTCTCAAGAATTTAGATCTGCAGGTATATTTAAAGTTTTTTTGATTAACATTTTGTTTTATAAATTTTTTTCAAAACTCAATTTAAGGTAGTGATGGGTCAAAAATTGCATGATTCAAAGTTGGAAAATTGTGATGAACAAAAAGTTGTTACTTCATGCACTTATTAAAAAATTATGGAGTTAACATTATCTTTTCACTCTAACTTTATTTGTAAAACTAGTGGGGCTCTTATATTTCTGAAATACTAAGGCTCTAATATTTTTAAAATATTTTTAAAGTACTGAGGCCAAAATATTTCTAAAATATTCTTATTAAAAGTTATATATTTTTAACATTTATAACTAAAATTTTTCAAAAGTTATTTTACTTGAATCTCAACACAAGTAATAAATAGAGATTTATTTAAAAAAAAAAAAAAAAAATCATTTAAATCTTTATAATTTGTTTTAATTTTAATTTATAATAATTTATTTTTCATTGTTACTTTGAATTGAATTTAGAATGTAAAATTGTTATCAAATTATATTCTGTTAATTAATGCATAGTTTCTTCACAAGATAATCTCGATAAACATATTATTGGCTTAGGGTAACCTAGGGTAAATAAAAAAAATCACAAATCTTACCAAAATAGTTATAAAGAGAATCCAAAATGCAAAAACAAGTTGTGTTCATCTTAAAGAGAATGTTTGAATATAATGTTTTGCCAGAATTTTTTTAAAACAAAAATTTATACCAATTAAAACAAAAATGTATACCAAAATAATAAATGCTCAAAGAAGCTATTATCTCTAGTTCCATTGACTAAATTATCATTTCTAGTTCCATTAACTCGCTCTCGCTTGACTCATCATTCAGCAAAGTTTTATTATTTACTGTATCTGTCCCTGAATGCTCTAAAAACTTTTTTTTCTCTAGTTTTTTCCCACATATTTCAACCCTTTTGAACTCTCTCCTACCTTCATATTTTCCTGATTCATACAACCCAAAACTTTTTAAGTCTTCTGTCAACTGTAACCATCCTCTATAACTCTATTTTTTTTTCTTAGTAACTCCCGACTTAATAGTGGTTGCTTGCAGCCTTGTTGAAGGTGAATCAGAATATAAAAAAATTATTGTAGATTTCAGTTTTTTATGAATAACTTTTGTTATTTACTCTTGTTTTTTACCAAATGCTGTTTTTAGACTGATATAATTAAATCTGGGCTCTGTATTTTAATCTATAGGGTGTGACATTAACACTGAACAAGAATCAATAATAAATAAAAATAGGTCAAATTTTGTGAATTTGCTTGAATGACACACCAACCATATATCTTCTACACCTATAAATCTCTTATTTGCACTTGTATAAAATACTTTTGTGATATTTGCAATTCAAATAAAAACCTCCATAAGGTCCAAAAATGTATTGTTAATTTTTATGGACCTGGCTAGCTTGAGTCTTTGCTCCATCATTATAAGGTTACATATTTCTCTTTTCTACACATACTGTCATAGTTGCTGCTCAAATGAGCTATCATCACTTGTTTTATTAACTAAAGCTCAACCTCTTATAATCATTTAGCTAAATTGCATCCTTTTATATATTTATATATATTTATATATATATTATATATATATTATATATATATATATATATATATATATATATATATATATTATATATATATATATATATATATATATAACAACTGTTTCATAAAATTTGAGACTAGTCTTAATTAGCAATAATTAATTAGTAAGTTTGATAAAATAATTAGTATTGGATATATAATATACTGGATATACTGAATTATAATTAGTAGGAAATAAAAGAAGGCCTATTTTTTATACGCAAAACAATCCCATCAAATTAAGGAAAATGTTTAACCATAGAAGATGTAAATAAATATATGAGTATGTAAATAAATTTACATACTCATACTTTCAAAGACTGCTAAAGGACTAACTTGTTGTAAAAAGATTGGACAAATATTAAAATGCTTTTTTAAAGCCTATTCTTAATAAGCCTATTGTTAATAGTTAATATTGTTAATTGTTAATAGTTAAGCCTATTGTTAAGCCTATTGTTAATAGTACACACTATTCAAATGAACAATATTTGACACCAGAAATTGTTAAGTTATATTTGACACCAGAAAATATTTGACACCAGATATTGTTATGGTGTTGTAAAATTTGAAAATTGTATGAATAGCTCTCCCCACAAAGGGTCAATTCAATTTATATTGTTCCTATTGGCCATACAATAAACCAAATAAAATATATCAAGGTTGTTTAGAAAAGTGCTTGCAACCTTTTATTAATAAATATTATTGAGACACCAAGTACATCTTTTAGCCTGATTTAGCACTGTGATCTCACTGTGCTAAGTCATTAATAAATTGAAAACCCAGAACATACCATTTGCTCAAAACAAGGACAATCCAGAAAACTTGCTAGAAGCTTGTGCTATAGCGGATTTTCGAGCAACGCTTAAATAATGTGTACAAAAATGAGTGGTCAACAAATAATATATCAAGCCTTGATTGTTTCAGATTCGTTATTATGCCAGTAGACTTGATCAATATTCTGTACAAAAGCTGATAAAAGACCAAATTTAAAGATATGGAATCTTGTGAAAAAATTTGTTTTTACTTTTGTATTCTGCGTATTTAAATCTTTTTTTTTTATCATGTTTGTTTAATTTTTTATTGAAGTTTAAAGCCAGTTTCAAATTTTATGGTACTGGTTTATATATATATATATATATATATATATATATATATATATATATATATATATATATATATATATATATATATATATATATATATATATATATATATATATATATATATATACATACACAAACAGGGGCTGTTCTAGGAAATTAATTTGGGCAGCAGTACCTCCCCGTCCTGGCAATATTTAGCGGAAATATTGCGCAATGTAGGTTTTTTTTTTGTTAAAAAAAAAAATATTTGCTGTTAAAAACAAAGGTTTTTAATTTGAACTTGGGCTGTGCCCATATACAGTCAGTACTGTCAAAAACTGTCTAGAATAGTCCATGATATATATATATATATATATATATATATATATATATATATATATATATATATATATATATATATATATATATATATATATATATATATATATATATATATATATATATATATATATATATATATATATATATATGGAGTTTTTAAGAAAATAAGAGTTAACTCAAAAAAAAAAAATTTGAAGTTAGCTAGTAGCTATCTTATTTGATAATAAGTTTGAAAAATCTAATCATATATAAACCACTCTCTAATGATGCCGTTTTTTGTAGAATTGCAAAGAAATGTGTCTTTAAAAATAAGTAATCGTAAAAAAAGCTTTATTTTTTTAATCTGCATTAATTTCAAGTTTTCAAGCTTAAAAGATGAATCTTTTTTTCAGGCTGTTTCAGGAAGCGTGTGCAATCAAACACCTTCTGTTCACACATTAAACAATTGTCTAATATTGTCAAAACGTCTGTCCACACATTAAACATTTTCTTAAGACAACCACGTGTGTTAGCATGTTCCAACAATTTAAGTGTTTTAAAAATGTGCTGAATTAAACTAAAGAGAAAAAAAGAAAAAAAAGAAAAATTAAAAACAACTCATTTAAAATATTTAAAAAAGGTCAAAATTTTAAAGTTATGTAAATGCTAAGGCCTTAAATTTTTAAGTCTTAAATTTAAAATTCGTAATTAAAAATGCGAAGGTTGAACTACTTTTTTTCTTACTATGTTTTTGTTTTTGTTTGTTTATTGAAAGATTAAGACGTTTTTTGTAAAGAAAAAACTTAATTTACTAAACAAAATAAAATAATTTTAAAATAAGAATGGACAATGCTATTTATTTGATTTGTTATTATTTAACTAGTGTGTATTTTATTGAAAAAATACATATTTGTATAAATAAAAAATATAAATATAAAATACTCTTTGATAATTTAAATAAAATGTATTTATTATAAACATTTGTTTGAAATAATTTGTTATTATTTAAAAGTGTTTTGCATGTATAAAAACAAGTTATTTTGAAATATCAAAGTTATTTATCATAAAAAGTTCATTCTTTTTTAAAAAAATAAGTTATATAATATTCTTTGCTAATTTAAATAAACATTTTGATAAAACAATAAACATTGATCAAAAGAAATAGATTACTTAAAAGAATTTCACTTATTATATAATTGTTAGAAAAAATCAATGTTTCGAAGTTATTTATTCCAAACCTAAGTTATAATGTTTATAATAATTTCTTTCAAGTTTTATTTTTACTAAGTTTTTTGTATTATTTTAAAATAATACAAAAAAATTTTAAATGTATATATAGTGCACCATGACACACTTTTGGTTTTTGCTTTGTAACAAATCTTTTAACATGCTATTATTTTAAGCGATGGGTTAAATTTGTAGAATGAATTTATATCCACAAAATAAATTCTATAAATTACCAAAATATAACAAGTTAAACTTGTGAGACTAGTTAAAGTAAAATTAGAAATTTGTTTTAAGGTACCCCACCCATGGGGTACCTTGATACACACTATGAGCATCATTAAAAAAGTAAATAAAAAGTTTAAAACAGAGAAAATGCATGTTTAAAATAAAAATCTTTATTTAAACATGTTTAAATAAAGATTTTTATTTGAAATATAAATAAATTAACATTTATAACCCAAATAATGCATCTAATGTTCCAAATTACATTTTAGAAGACCAGATAGTATATCAATTTAAGGCATGCAACATGTCATGCAACATATCAGATTTTAATGATTTTTATACCACTTAAAAATTTTAAAAAGTTATGAATGTTTCCAAAATTTTATCATCTAATTCCAAACGGTTTCAAAGATATGACTCTTTAAGTTTTGCCTTGAACCAACAAAAATCTGCCATTTTGAAAAGTGTTAGGCAAGGAATCCAATATAACAACTTAAAATATTTAAAAATAAACTCAACACCTGTAATTTTGACCTTTATCATAATTTTACT